ACGATGCTTGACATTCGCTCCTGAAACCATTGTGGTCTTGTTTCACAATGCGACACAGATTTTTATGGATGCGTTAGTGAGGGACGGTCCCGACGGCGTAGTTTATGCGCAGAGCACTGCTTTGTATGTGATCGCTAGTAAGCCATCGTGAAGAAGATTTGGCGTTGACGTCAAGTACCTCCAGATTTGAAATCCATCCATGAAAGCGGGAGCAGCAGCGTGCATTTTCATTTTCGAAATGAAAGAGGCGGCGCATATCATGCATGACTTGAGATTGCAGGGAATGATGCACAATTTTGGACACACTTGCTTTGTGCCCAATTTTCAATTTTGAACTTTGAAGTTTGAAGTTTATTGTTATCGCTATTATTATGTTGTATCAAGGCTCAAGCTTATACTGCATGCATTTGATTATAATCTGAGTTGTGAGTTCGAAAGTATGTGCGGGAGTTGGGTCTTCGTTGTTGGTTCGTTTACAACCCCATTTTACTCAGTCTACTGTTCATTTATCATTGCTCGTTTACTATTGTTAGTTTGCTCAACTTTGCTGTTTGTTCTCCGACAGTTTTTGTCATTAGTCGTCTTGTAGATGGAATTGTCAGTTCATTCAAACTCTTAGTTATGTTGTTAGTTAATCCGTTAGTTAAAACTGTTGGTTGAACTGTTAGTTAAAACTGTTAGATCATCTGTTGTTTCAAAGGCGCGTGCAGTTTAAGTTTTTTTTCTTCGGTTTTTCATCCGTTTGTTCAACTGTTAGTTACCTGTTAGTTCAACTGTTAGTTTCAAAATTCGAACTCCTTAGCTTAAGTAGTTAGGTAATATTCGCTAGTTAAACTGTTTTTTTTTTTTTTCCAAATATATATATATATATATATAAATAATTATAATTATTTTTGAAATACTGTGCATTAAACTGTTGTTTAATTTACAATTCTAGTTATCCTGTTGGTTAAACTGTTAGTTAAGCTGTTTTTGTTCAACGGTTGGCTCAATTAACTGTTATTTCATTTGCATTTTACTGTGTTGAGTTCCCGCTGCTTACGGAAACCAATGATCCTTGTGCTTAAACCAGCAGTGTACTTGGTCCAGATATCGCCCTCGAAACACAATAGAGCAGAAACGTTGCTCTCTAGTCGCATGAATTTTTTTGGCCCTCCTGTGGAG